CCCCTCCCCCTCCCACACCTAATTTCTGTATTTTTCATAGATGTCAATACGTTACTACTGCGTGCCCCCCGCCCCGGCACAGTCGAGCAACTCGAGCAGTCAGTGTGCGTGTTTTTCTCAAGAACGACGGGTCCCAGCGCGCGCGTAGCCGAAAAACTCACGAGACAGGTGTGGCGATTCCTCAGAGAAGATTTGCGCGTGGCCTGACAAGCTGGCTTTGATTCCGTCTCACAGCTTTTGCTGTTACCTTCGCGTTCTCTTTTGGCTTTTGGTCCTTCTTTTTTTTGACTGCGAGCTGGTCCGTTTTTCTCGACCGTTTATGTTCGGTAGCACCGTCGTTGTGTTTTGCGGCAAGCCCAGGATGTGGTTTGAAGCAGCTCTACTGCATGCGTCATAACTTCTTCTCCCTTGCTGAGTTTGCGTGAAGCCGCATGCGCCTCAGGGCAGAGGTTTACGGCGTGGGTGGATGACTTGATCTACCCCGAGCCTCGTCTCGAATTTTTTTGTTCTTGGTTATGTTCAACGTAGGAAAGGTTCTGGACCTGTAAGTCGATTGGCACCTCTAGGGCTTCGGTTGAACCAAACGTATAGCAGCACGTGACTTTGGTTGCGTAGCAACAACCAGCCGTCGAAATAGTCTTCTCGGCTGTGTCTTTTTGTTCTCAACCCACGTTTCGACGCACGATGTCGCAGTAAAATGCACGATTATTCGTACGTGGGAATTCTTTTTTGTTCGACACGCTTCTGTTGTGCGCCCCTTTCTCGACCAGAGAGGCAACGCGTGGCACGTGACAAGGACAGGGTCCAGTTCCACCGAAATCCATCGTGCTTTCATTAGAGTGTACTTCCGAACGAACTTGTGCCATTTTTGTGGCGCAGTCTTCCTGGTTTCTCGTTGTTTTCGCTCGAGTTGTTGTTTGGAAGGAAACACGCGGCAGTTTGATGAGAAGCCATCCGGAACCCCTGTGAAGTTCCATGGGTGACGCGTGCTTGGCGTGTCCACAATTTGCCGTGGTCTAGACGCCGTTTCGAAGACAGCGGTGACCACGCCGCAGAGGGTTGTGGGCTCGTTCGTATGCCACGGCAAAATGTCTAGCTTGGTGGTTCTTTCATGCGATCATCCCAGCGTGTACAGGTGGTGTGAATCATCCTCTCAGCTGCAAAAGACGGCTGGCAAGAGCGTTTGCACATGACTAGACTCGCCCGCAGTGACACCAACTTTGCGACTGTCCCAAAAACTTCCGTCCTTCTCAATCCCCACAGATCCCCCTACGATGGCGCAGACGGACCGCGAGTCACTGACAGCCTTCTACAACGCGACCGATGGGGCTAAATGGATACGCAACACCAACTGGGGCTCGGGCGCCCCACTCTCGGACTGGTACGGGGTCGAAGCTAACGACCAGGGCCGGGTGGTGAAGCTGTATCTTTCCTCGAACAACCTCCGAGGTATGTTCAAGCCTACCCTACGGACAACGCTCTTTTGCTATGTCTTTGACCTTTCCCAAGAATTCGTCAACGGAAAGTGATCCTTTCATGAAATTGCAAGTTTTACAGGAAGCCACAATATTGTCTTTCTGATACGTCCCTGTGTTCTGCACGCGGTCTACGCCTGAGTACCCCTGGTAAGTAAAACCGCCGCAGTACCAACAAGCTGTGCGCACGATGCTGCGGTACTCGTCAAAGTTGATCGACACCTGAATACCTCGCCTTCTAGCCTGCTCCTTGAACACACGCCACCTGTACACCACATTGGTTTTCCTGACTTTCAAGTGCTTCTCATACACGGCGGTCCGTCGGTATCGCTTCTTTTGCAAGGCTCGGATACGTCTCTTGTCGTATGGTGGAGCCGTCACGACCACGAATCCATTCCGCACCGGCCCCGTAGGCTTGGTGGTTGGTTTCCTCGCTGAAATCCATCCGCTGTCCTTTGTTGCACCCATGGCTGATGAACGGTCGGAAGTGCTGTGTGGTGTGGGAGCAATCGTGTGGGTCTTTTGGAAAGGAAATGTTCTAGACGTTGGTGGGTCTACGGGTTAAAAAGTCAAGAATGACCCGGTCTCTAGAACATCTTCTCGCCTCTGCCAACGCAGTTGCGTGGACGCCAAGAAATTTACCCGCGACTCTAATTTCAAGTGGACGCCCACTTCCACGGCGCAGGCGATATCCATATATGCATGTTTCACCTGTGAGTTTGTTGTTTTCGAGCCAAATTGTCTCCAGCTTAGTAAGCCCTCCCAGATCCGGCGGGATCGGCCCTGCAGCGAAAGTTCAAGCATGGATTCAGCGAGAATATATTTTTTCTTTATCAGCCTCTCTGTTATCAAGACAACTGATCTCCATAGATCCTGTCCCGCCAACTAGTAGGTGTCCTCTTGAAACTAGAGGGGCGGATCAATTTTTCTTGGCGTCTACGTCGACGGAATACATTCTGAAAAATTACCGATATCTCACCAGACAGTTGATTCCGGCCAAGAGAGAGCTTCTCCAGTGCTGCGAGCTTTCCCAGCTCCGGTGGGATGCGGCCTGCCGTCGAAATTTCAGGGGCAGGACAGATGTAGAGCGGAGAGATTAAACAATTACTTTTATTTTCAAGAGGAC